GTGTGCAAAAGTTGAATTTTAATTTGAATGTGACCAACTTTATGACTCCGAAATGAGTTCAACAAGCGAATGTTGCTGTCTCACTCAAACAACTTCTTCCCGCCCACCTTCGTCTCTCGTTCACCTATGCCACCCTTTCTCCCCTTCTCCCTCTCTTCTACGTCAAGCATTTTTTATTTATATTATGCATATTTTTCTGCATTTGTGCAAGCAATTTAAATGCAATTTTAAAAGAATTTTTTTGTACATATATATATTTTTTGCATTTAATTTATGGAATTTCCGCTATTCGATTTCAACTCAGTAGAGTTTATTTTTTGAAAGGCAAATAAATAGAGTTTTAACTCCAATGGAAGCCATTTGTTGTTGTTGTTATTGTTGTTGTTGTTGTTGTTGCAGTGAATGTAACCATAAATAAAAGTAAATTGCGTTTGGCTATAAAATCCAATGAGACTCCAAAGAACGCAACGTAAATAAAACGCACAGAGAGCACAAAACTTGTTTATTTGCTGCTGTTGATGCTGTTGTTGCTGGTGCTGCACCAAAGGACAACAGGATATGCAGGATAAAGCTGTTGCTGGCGGCAGATCCAGCTCCCTGAGCAAGAAGCAGCAGCAGCAGAGACAAAAGGCAGCTGTGTGCCAGCCTGATTATTACAAACTTATTACAAACGTGCCAAGTAAAGAAATGCCAACTCCTGGATATATATTCCTATAAACGTATATACACACACACACACCAGGATAATAGGATGTGCGTATAAGAATAAGAATACCAAAGAATTGTTGCCCATTAAGAGCGTCCCATTGTTGCCAGTACAATCGAAATGAAATCCTCACGTACGCCGAGGTACAAGTAAAAATGAGCACACCACGCAAGAAATGACATACAGGACACACACACACAGCCAGTCAAGAGCGGTGGGAAGGGGCTTTTGTTATTTGCCTATGCTTGTCATATTTCATACACAACACAACAATTAAATTGAATGTACGTTGTGAGCACGCGGCTGACACAGCGAAGGACTCGTTGATTTAAGCACAATAACAATTTCAGGATATTTGTATAAATTTGCAATTGCATTTTATTGAGCAGCAGCAGCAGACGCATAAAATTAGCATAAGCAGTTGTGACCGTGTGTGTATGTGTGAGTGTGTGCGAGCGTGTGTAAACAGTTAAAGGGACAAATATGCAGACAGGCAGACATAACTCATACGACCTGTAAGCGCGGCCAAGCAATGCTAGCCGAATTCAAGCTACCCTTTGGCTTGTCGAACTCTTAGAAGTATTTTCGTATTAAGAATCTTTGAGAGATCCACCTAGTAGCGAAAACTACAAGAATTGCAATGAGCTTTTGTAAAACAGTGTTGATAAACGCGCATAATTGATTGTTACACCATTTTCCATATAATTCCCAACTAGTTGTAGCACAGATTTGACAATAACTAATATAAATCCAAAATCACTGTGGAATAACAGCTTTAAAACTAAAAATTCTTAATACTTGATTATAATTCCCAAATGGTTTAAGTGCAGACTTGCCCTGCAGCATTTTTTATAGCCTCATAGAAAATTTAACGACGCTTTCTCTAGAGCTAAGCTTTCGCCCTCTAGCTGCTTTATATATCCCTCTGATATTCTAGGAATGTTTTGCCGAGATATTTTCTCTGTAGCTCTGCTTTTTGCTTTTAATTAAAACAACTCATTACGTTTTAATTTGCCAACTTAAGAGCCTTAAAGTTGTGCAGTTGCAATGCGGCTGCTCTCAAACAATTGCCGGCTTTAACAAGAAAAAATAGCGAAAGAGAAAACTGTTGACAACAATTTCATTGACACAGTTCTGTTTTTTTTTTTTTTTTTATTACGCTTTTTTTCTATTTTATTCGCCCGACAGAGACAAAAAATGTCAGCGACAAAATCGATGCCCTGAAAAGGCTACGAAATAAAACAAAAACAGCCAAAAGCAAAAGTCGCAGTAAATTGCACACAATGTGCACAAGTACCAGTACCCCTTCGCTCCCCTCCCCTCCCCGTCCACCGTCCCACGGTGTATACCCTGCCAACAGTTGTACGTGTCATTTGGCTGCAGTTTTATTTGGCCTGGCATAATGCGAGTTTATGTTTATGGTAGCCAGCTTCTGCAGGCCCTGAAACTGGGCTGATCTTGCACTCGGCGAAGCAGAAAACAACCAACTGAAAGCATTATAATGAATACGAGTTTTTTGAATACCCTAAAAGCTGAAGGAATTCTTTGCAATTTTTTGCGGTTACAGAATGCGGTTGAAGGGCCCATTTTATGTACTGTAACATGTCTACATTTATTGTGTTAAAGTTGGGGCTTGCTTTTTGATATTTCAGTAGTTTATGCTATCAAATTTTAATATATAATGTGCCAAATATAACATCTGACCAGAAGGCTTTAAACATACCTTAAACAAATTAGAACTAAAATATATGTCTATAAACAGGGTATTTTCATATCCTTATAAGACAAATGCGAATTGCAATCAAATCAAGTCTAGATATTCTATGAAGAAACTTGCTGAATTTAAGTTAGTTTTAGACGAATTTAAGTCTATCTGCAGGGCATCTTCTCAGCTTGAGCTCAGCCTGCTTAAAAGATTAAAATGAAATGAATTCATTTCAGTTCACAATTAGCTTGCACATTATTAGGGTATTTAAAAGTTCAGCTGATCCTAAACATTGCCCCAGTGACTTTCACGACGTTGCAAATTCTTAAAAATAGATTCGAGCCAGGCATTTCAGGACACGGCCAGTTACTTGGGCACGTCCCGACTCTGCTGTCGAGCACTGAAACGTTCTAATGCTCTTTGTAAGCGGAAGGGGAGCGGGTAGTGCGGAGGGGGGCGGGCCAGGCAATTGCAGTTGCCAGTTGTTTTTTTTTTATTTTGGTTTTTAGCCAGCCAGACAGATGGGCGACAGTTTTGGGGAAATATAAAAATGGAAAGTTTGCATAAAAAGTAAATAGGGAACAGGAAGAAAAACAGCAGGAAGGTAACTAAAAACGGAAACGAAAGCAAAAGCCAATTCAGCAGCAGCATCAGCAGCAGCAAATACCAAATACAAAAGCAACAGAAGTTAAAGTGGAAAAAGCGGCTGCTGCCAGCTGAAGTTAAACCAGAGCAGCTGCCAGTTGAAGAAGCTGCTAAATCAGGTCAGGGATTTGGGCGCCATTTTACGCTAGATTCTCATACCATATATATTATATATAGGGCAACTGTAGGTTAGGGTCTATAGTCGACGCCCTTTAAAATATATATTTTTTCTAATGATCCGATCTAGCCATAATCATATATATGCTACTCGAGACAATATCTATTCATTTAAACCCACTTTTCCCACTTATGCTATATTTGAATATTTTTAGGTCTAACAAGTTTACAGGGTATCTCCTTATAGAGCATTCTCAGCTATAGCAAACAAACTTGTTTATAGATGCTTTAGTTTTTTTTTTGCTTTTGCTACTTTGTGCCATTTGTTATGGCTACGAAAAAGTGAAATTGCGCATACGCCGGGTGGTTCTCAATGCTATTTGTCAGACGGGCATTAATTTAATTACAAACTGCACAAATTGCGCTCAAAAAGACGCACAGCAGTAAATGCGAGCTATCACTTTGTTCCCGCAACACGAACACCCCTCAATCCCCTCCGCTTTTCAACTTTGTGTGTCACTGGAGCATTGGAGCCAAGTCGTCGTTGGGAAGTGTGAAAGCCAACTTTGGCCGACAACCGCAAGCTGCATTTTTAATTGCGCACACGTGCGAGAAGCAGTAGAAGAAGAAGCAGAAGATGACGACGGTGTCTCGCTGTGGGCGTGGCCCTGCCCAGCAGCTGTGTGTGTGTCAGTTTGGCGGCTGCTGCTTGAACTCATTTAGCGTGGAAATTATGGTACGCTCAAGTGGATTTTGACAGGACAAGCCCAGGACACACACATCCTTGAATCCTTTGAAAGTTTTGTGCACGTTTTGCGGCCCATGACCCCACCACCCAGGCAGCACAACGCCTGCAGCTGTTGCCATAAATTGGGGCCATTTCAAGCTGTGTGCCCAGAGCTCAGGACCTCCTGTCTAATTGATATGCAATAAACATTGAACGCCAGACAAGCGTATCAATGAAAAGCCCCTGCATATTGCCCAACTGACAGCCATGACAGGCAAAAGCTTTGCCAGCAGGCAGTTATTTGCTATACGGCCATATTGCCGCCCCCCCCTTGTCACACCCCTCTCGGCAGCACTCGCTTCCTCTGCCTACTGATGCTTGCTACTTGCAACAGTTTCGAGCAGCATTTCAACTTTTGTTTTGCCTGAGTTGGCCGCTTCCAGCTCCAGCTCCAGCTTCAGCTTCAGCTCCTGCTGCTGCTGCTTGTTGCCTGTCAAGTATTTAAGTCTAATACGCTTAGTTGTAGCTCTTGTTATACCCTGTACGCATTTGGATGGTTAAGCGGTGATGGAAGGCCTGTTGTTGAACCTATTTATATACATATATCTGAGTCTTTTCAGCTATATCCGTTTGGGCTGTCTTTTACTCGATATGAACATTGATATCAGAGACTAAAGTTTATTTAATTAAACTATTTATATTTAATTGTCTTGAGCTGTTCTTTCGATATATTGATTTCCAGCCGAAAAAGTTACATGGTATCTCCTAGTCGTTCACTCTAACTTATTGTTGTTGTCGTTCGGAGGCATTTAAGTAAATTGAATTACAATGATATTTCTGGTAAACTTTACACAAAAACTGTTGCCAGCCAATTGAGCTGTAAGCTCTGGCCATTTTCTAATGCAACATTGGGTACATTGCGTATACGCAATATTGATTTATAATCTAATTGAATTAGGCTTTAATTGAGCAGGCATTTGCTGGCAATTTGCAATTAAGCACTTCAAAGCGCATTAAACTAACAATTAAACAGCCAACTATGTACTTAAAGAAGAATGATGAAGGTTGATAATTCGTGTTAGAATACACAATATACTCACTCATTTTGCCATGCGGTAGCACTTAACAATAATCACGTATACGCCTAGTGGCGCATTTTGCACCTTTGAACACGAAAAGTTATTGTTATTTTACACTCAAAGCGTTGTCGTTGCGATAACTTTGCCTATCGCTTATCGTATTTTCACTGCAATAGTTAACAACGTGTTATCGATAAAGTTGCAGATACAGATACAGATACACATGCAGATACAGCTAATTATATCTTTATCTATTATTTAGCCTTTTCACATTTCATTTGGGGCAAAATATGTCATTCAAGCATGCATATTTAATTTATTTGGCCAATTTCACAGCTGGCCAAAAACCTTTCGGCGAATGTGAAATTGGAAAACCAATAAACACCCGCAAATTGAATTTTGTTCATTCATTTAATATGTTAATGTATTTATGCATATTGTGCACACATTTTTCGCTGCTCTCAAATTCTCTTAATGCAAATTGCCTCGCTGGAGGGCGGAGGGATGGCAGACGGGTGACGCAAAAAGGAAGAGAGTGAAAGGGAGGGGAGGGGGGCAAAGGACTGGCAGCTGGAACACTCTTGGGCGAGATTTACTATATTAATTCCCGAGTCTGTCACTTATCGTCCGCTTATCTAAATGTTCTTCCGCTACTCTATCTTTTACACTACTTTTTCTTTGGCTCATCTTTATTTTTTATCCAATTAGCAGCCGCCATTTGTACTTTCGCTCGCAATTTCTCTCATGCATTTTGTGCAGCAAACAATTTAAATTAACATTTTAATTTTTTATCACATTATTTGTCAGCTGTTATTGTTTTCTTTAGCCTTTCACTTGGCTGGATTTTGATTCAATTTTTATAAGCTTAAAATTCCATATTTTTAATCAATGCATTTTTATTTACGATAAAATTAAAAAAATGCGAAATGTGCAAAACAAAATGCAGCAATTTCGAATGGCATGCGTTTAACTACATGAATTAATATATATTTCATATATGTATAAAATATAATATTTTTAATATTATTTTAATGATTGATATGCGCTTTAATTAATTAAATTTTCTAATTTTCTTTATATCTGTTTTTCAGTTAGTGCGAAAAGGCAGTGTCAAGCTGTTCTATTTTTTTTTCTATTTTTTTCTGTGCTTTATTGTGTTGCCCCTTCTGGGATAAAATGTTTAATTTTATGTTCTAAAAAAGAAAAAGTGTTTAAATCATAATTTAATAGTTTCTTCTGATATGTTAAAGTGTATTTCTGTGTGTTCCTGTTTTGTGAAAAAATATTGAAGTTTTTTGACCAACGGAAGCTGTTGAGATTTGAATATTATAAGGTAAGAACTACAATTTATTATTCAATTTTAATTCGAAAACTATTTTACATCGAATATTGCTGCTGAGTTTGAACTGGTGACCAGCGGTTTGTTAATTTGAGGCTCAAAGTTAATGTTTTTCAAACAAACTCTGACTCGAATGTTCTCATAAATTAGCTTTCTTTGTCTTGCAATTTTTATTATATACATAAATAGGTCACGTTCTAAAACACAATTAGAGCTGTGTTTTTTGCGCGTTCCGCAAAATAATAAAAGAAAATCAACCCTTTTCGTTGAGCTGAACAAATAACCAACAAATGAAAACCTTGCTGGGTTTTCTATTTGCAACATTTAAAATAATTAAAATGCCATATAAGAAATGTTGTTGCTCCTAAAAAAAGGGGCAGGGTAGCCCTTTAATGGTTGTGAAGAGAGAGTGTGGTGGGGGGGGACTGTAAATATTACAAAACAGAAACAAAACGTGGCCGGCTACAAAAAAGGGCCTCGCCAGCAAATTGTAGGCGCTAAGCAAGATTTATGAGCCCCTCAGGGTGTGTGTGTATGTGTGCGGGAGGGGTGGGGGAGGAGTGGTCGCAAGAGTGGACTGGGCCTATGGTTGAGGTGGGTTGGTTTGGGGGGGCGTGGCATTGGCATTGCTCTAGTATTTGGCCCGGCGCGTCCCATTATTTGTTTTAACTGTGCGCTTTTACAGCAAAGTCTGCGGCTACAAGTTTCAATAATTTAAAATATTTGAGCATTTTCGGAGGCATTTCGAGGCAATTTGCTTAATGGTGCTCCGCCAGTTGGCGGCCCAAAGGTTTTGTGGCCTGCTCATAAATAAGGCAACTGTCCAAAGCAGATGCTGGCCAAGAACTAAGTATTATGGGGAGAGGGGCGGTGGGGTCAGTAGCTGGTAGCATGTGTGGCAATTGCAGCTGTGCGTGTGTGTGGCAATGCAGTTCAAGGCCGCGGTGCGGCAACCCAATTACGCAAAATGCTGCTTAAAACAAAAGCAGCTAACACACCAAAAATGTACGGCAGTCCAATGTATCCTAAGGCGACCTAGAAAAACACCCTAGTTGCAGCTGAGCTCTGCTCAAAGTTGGCGTGTCGTGAGTTGCTTGTTGATGCCACAAGCCAAAGCGAAAGATAAACACACCACAAAATGTGCCAATGCCAATTGGTGAGGGCTAAAGCGGATGGCTCTGTGTGGCTTACTGGCAGAGGTTACTGTATCACATAACCGCATTTAACACACACACACACACACACTCAGGCACACCGACACATGGGATGCATAACGTTCAAGGACATATGGCAAGAGCTGCATGCATTTTGTATGTAAGTCAAGGGTCTCGGGTTTTTTTATGTCGCGGCGGCGCCTGCAGGTTATGCAACACCTTTTTTTTTTGTTGTTGCCAGTTTTTAATTTGTTTAGCTAATTTTATGAATTCGACAGCGTCACGGCAAGCACACATGCACAAGCTCGCACACAGCATTCGTGACGTCAAAAATGTTAGCTCGCCTTCTCTCTCTCTCTCTCTCTCTCTGTCTCTCTTTCGCCCGCTTGCTCACACCTTCTCACTCTGGTGTTCTGCTCGCTCTTGTGCGTGCGTGTTTGAGCAGCTGTGCGCTGTATCTGTATCTGTGTCTGTATTTGCTGCGTGTTGCTGCGTATTGTACATGTATTTGTGTAACTGTGCGTGTTTTCACTTTCGCTTTTCATTGATTTTTGTTGAGCAACGCGCGCGTGTCGCATGCCACATTTGTTGTTACTTTTGTTGCGACAATGCTGGCGTCTTTTGTTGCCATTAAACAGCCTCCGTTTGTTAACTTATTTCACTTTCATCTAAGCGCGCACACACACACACACACACACTTACACACAAACCGCTTGTATACGTTTCGTTGCGCTGCCGTAACGTCGTCTTCAACATTGGCCGCAAACGTCGCACAGCGCTGGCTGCCAAAACTAAACTGAACTCGTGCAACGCTGCCACATCGCATGTGACCAAAACGCTGCCACGGCCAGTGGCAGCAGCAGCAGCAACAGCAACAGCAGCAGCAGCAGCAGCAGTAAGAATACTGGTAACAGTTTTTCACAACATCGTTGGCGGCGCAGGCGCACTTTTCCACAGCAGCAGCATTTTCCTTCAGGCATTGTCACAGTTCACGTCACACTGTTGCTGCTGCTGCTGCTGATGCTTCTCTGCCCCCCATCTAGCCCAACTCCTCACACCTTTCAGATTTTTGTTTACATTGTGTGTGCAGCATTTTTAGGCCTATCGAGGGGTGACACGAGCAGCACCTTGCAACATTTGTGTTACGGGCGAACGTAAATAAAATTACGCATACGCCACGTGCTGGGACAAGTTTGTCGACAAGCTTTTTAGGCATATTCATATGAATTAATGATATTCTCCTGTCACACAATACGTCAAATCTAAATCATTTTAAAGTCTGCCCACGTGTTATGTGAGCGCTGCAATTGTCAAGCGACCGATACAAAAGCTCGAGGCGTTGGCCAAGACACAGCACAAAACTTCGACTCAATTTGCTGAAATTGAACAAAACGGGACACAGCAGCACAGACCCACAGCCAAACACACACATCGAACAATTTTTACGCTGATTGGTTTTAAGTCACTTTTTCCCCCATATCTCTTTATGTTGTAAGTTGCTTTTCTTTTATACCCTGTAACCATTGATGCTTGAAAATGGGATTGATTGACGCTGTGAAGGATATAATTGGTAGCTGGCATCTAAAACTCATTTTATGTAGGTTCCTTTAAGAAACAATATGATATCAGAGCTTTCTTTAACACAATTTTTAACTAACAAGAGCTTAACTTTGTACAGAGTATCTCGTAGCTGGGCAACCGCGATCAGAGCACTTTTGTTTTTGACGAAAAAGTCAACGAGCCAAAGCCAAATGTCAGTTGCCCCACTCTGCATCCTATTCCCCTTTCCATAGCCTTGATTCCGGTCAGTAGTGTGCCGCCTTGAAGCTCTTTTGGAATTTAATAACGAAATAGCCTCAATTTCATGCAACGCTCCGCAACGCCCCGCTCCACTTTGCCCCCCGGCAACTGTTCGGCACAAACAATTTTCAATTTTCCATTATGTGACTTTCCGTTGATAAATTCCACAGAAAACAGATGATGAAAAAACTTTATCCAAAAACTGAAAAGCTGCAATTGAAATTGAAAGCGCAGTTGCCAGTTGCCAGTTGGCAGTTGGCATTAGCTGATATAAATCATGCGATTGCCAACATTGCTAATAACTAATTAAAAAGTTGCACCATGTGAAGGATAATTTAATTGAATTTAATTTAATGCCATTACGAACTTTCATTTCATTCGATTTAATTCAGCTCCAGGCAGCAAGAAAAACAAACAACAAGCAGAACAACAACAAACGGTAGAAACAAACAACTGAGTCACTTGCCTCATTATGGGGCGTAGACGCGTGGGCGTGGCATGAAGCATTGAGAGGCTTGACATTGATTTTTATCAATGGGCAGCCAATGATGAATGACAATGGAAGCTGAGTTGACAGCGTGAGAGTGTGCGTGGGAGTGTGTGTGCGAGTCTGTGTGCGAGTCTTTTTGTGAGTGTGTGTGGTAGTAAGTGTGTGGGAGTGTGTGTGTCAGCTACTTATAGCCTGGGCACATCAAAATTGCCAAGTGCCTTTTCCAGCCAGTCCATAACTTTGTTCAATCTGAAGCGGTTTTCCTTGGGATGTTCTGCTTTTACCAAGTTTGATTTGGCATTAAAACTTGATTCAGTTGTTAATAAAAAAACCATAAACAAGCCATGATGGTGGCCATTGAGGACTTTGGCTTACGTCTAGATTGATGCTGCTTTAATGTTTGGAACCACAATTTTTCAATATGTTTTCGTGAGCTCAAAACTTTGACCATATCCCAAATAACTAGTTTCTCTCCTACTCTGTTAAGATTCAACCTATTTTGTTTTTGGTATGTTGAATAATCTAGATTGATTCGGTATTTACAATTTATGTCTTTATGTCTAAAATTAAGCTATTCTTTTTAAGCAAACTTTTAAGAAACTCCAATAATTTTGCTAGGAAATGTTGTGTGGTTCTTGTTTTAATCTCAATATTGATTATGCAGCTCAACGAACTTGCGGCCAATTTATTTTTCTCGCTAGTTTTGATAAATATTATTCTTGCTTCAGAGAATTTGCCAGGCCCCGGGGCCGTTTTTATCGGTTCGTCTCTTTTTATAGGGTCACACATTGGCAATTTGCGCAGCACGTTCGCATCTTTATGGCATCGCTTTATCAACAACGACTATGTGGCAAGTGTTGTGGCAACTGTTGTTGCAAGTGCCACTGTCAGCTCTTTAGCTGTTTGTTAGCGTTGCGGACAAGTTTTGCTATCTTAGCCGAGATGCTCATTAGACGAGCACAAGTGGCAGCTGAAAGCTCGCACTTGAATTTATTATCCTCTTTGATATGCTCACTCCTTCAGCCAGCCTGCCAACAGTGTGTGTGTGTGTGTGTGTGTGGTGTGTGAGTGTGTGTGTTTGTGTGACGGGCGCACTTACACCTAATTGAATCCTGCGGGCAAAACTCTAAGCCCCGGCATGCCAAAGCGTTTAGTGGGCAACCGCCGCCCGCAGTTTTGTTACCCTGTCGCATCTTCTGTTCTGTTCCCATTCCTGCTGCTTCTGTTGCTCCTTCTGTGCCTGCTGCTGCTGCTGCTCACATTCCACATCCTGCAGCGCCTCTAATTCAATTAGCAGGTTCAGCGCCAAAACGGCAAATGGCTCGTTAAACACGCTGTGTGTTTTTTGCAGCTACCCGTTGTTCACCTCCCCAACCCCACACCCGACTGCTGCAACTCCGCCGCGTCCCTTTTAATGCCACTTCAGTTGTGTGCGCGCGCGTTTTCCCTCTGCTTCGTTTTTAAAACATGTTTTATTAGATTTTCTTTCCTGTATTTTATTCCCTTTTTTTTTGCCTTAACTGGCGTCATTTTTATGCAAACGGAAGCTCCCACACACACACACAGTCACAAACAAACTTGGCTCCATTGTGTGTGTAATGAGGAAAATGTTACAAATTGCCAAAACTCTACCCCGCATCAACTGGCGGCCACCCCAGTTCGCTGCTCGGTCAGCCTTTGTTCGCATCGTTTGTGTTTGCTTTTGCAGATAATGCAGGAAAAATCTTTTGCACTTGAGCACGCAGCGGATGCGGCCAGTGGTCATTGGACCGGCGACCAAATGTTGCCCCACATGAGCTGGGCGCGTAATTATGAGCAATGCAAATAATGTGCGAGCACCCCCTCAAAATTACAACCGATGCCCAACCCTGTATCCCCATACGATAATTCGCCCTGTAGACAATTTGAGCGCAGCCCTGATTTAATTTTTACACAAATAACTCGAGCAAATTGTTCACTTTGCTGACCAAAATGTGCTCTATGAGAATCCTCTAGGGTCATGAAATGGAAGTTTTATGGAGAAGTATGAAACCAGCTATTGTAAACATAAAATCCCTTATGGTAACCAAATCAACGTGTGTCGAGTTCCATTTTGTAGCTGCTTTAACTGTTGATGAGAAACTCCGCAGCTGTTACGGCGCGCCTCTCTTTGCGCTTCTCATACAGTTCTGCTAACCATAATCGCCTTTCCTTTGCGCTGCGCATATGGCCTCCGTTAGCTGTGCGACTGCATCCTGTTGGTTCTTTGATTTTTCCACTTTTGCATTGCCAATGCCCGATCTTTGGCCCTGTGCGCAATCTTTTTTACTGCTTCCCTTTTTCCAAATGCCGCCCATACTCCCGCCCTTTTCTTTTTCTTTTTTTTTTGTTAGTTTGCGTTGCCGCTGGCTTGGTCAATTTTTTACTTTTGGTCTCTCCTTTTTTTTATTTTTTTTGCAGCTGCTGCAACAAAAGTCCATTATCCGTTTTGGCGTTATCGGTAATCAATTTCAGTGGCCGCTTGGTGCAAAAAAAAAAAAGATGAAAAGTTTTTCGCTGCAGCTTTTCTTCCGTTTTTTTTTAACAGCTTTTTCGAGGAGCGGCGCACAAAAGCGACGTCAACGAGGCAATAACAACAACAACAACAATGGGAATTGTTAGTTTTGAAATATGCACGAACCGACGGCCTCTCTCTAACAAGCCATAGCTTCATGTGTGCAGCCCAACAAATGCTGTTGAAGTGTTGTTTGTTGTCGTTGTTGTTGTTGTTGTTGTTGCAACAGTTGTTGCTGTTGCTGTGAGTTGCGCAGTGCAACAACAACAACAGCAACAGCAACAACAAATAATTCAATTTCAATGTAGAAGCAATTTTGCTGCTCTTGCAGTTGTAGTTGCAATTGCAGTTGCAGTTGCAGTTGCAGCTATTGTTGTTGTTGTTGCTGTTGTTGTTGCCACTCACTTACATAGTTGTCGAGTTGTTGAAAAAACTTTTCTTTCCACTTTTCTAGTTATACTTTTTTTTTTCACATTCGCAATTGGCTTCAAATTGGCTGCTCGTCGAATTAGTTGTGAAATGTGTTTGTGTGTGTGTGGGTGGAGCGAGGAGTGGGGGGCGCAGCCTTGTGCTAGATTTGAATTGAGGGGGCGACACAGTTGCCAATCCACCTACACACAAATCTAATTATATGCTGTTATCTAAGCGGGCTCCACAAAGTAGGCAACAGAAATTGCAAGCGGAGCCCTTTGAATAATGCAGCGTGTGTTGGCAAAGGGGGTGGAGGGGGAAGGGAGGGGAACAAGCTGAAATTGTTGCTTACTTTGGCAGCACTAGATTCAGTTTGTTTTGGCTTTCGTCTCCGTTTTCACTATTCAATTAATTCCTCGCGGTCTTTATATGAAAACCAAACCACAAGCTGGCCTACAAATTTGTGGTTTCCAGGCATAACCAAATTGGCAAAAAGTTAGTGTATATGTGTGTGCGGTGTGCCGTTTGGTTTACCCTAAGTGCGGTTTT